CCACAACCAGCAGATATCGCCGGCCGTTATCTATCCATTCCCGTGAATCCGGTACACGCTGAAGAGAGCTTTATTGCTTACAAAAATGTTGTGTCTGACAAGCGTCACAACCTTTCGGCCAGTAGCAGGAAGCACCTTGTTGGGCTTCATTTTAAGTCCTCTGTTTTGGATCAGGACTGGCATATAAATATGGTGAACGAATGTGCCTTGATTACTGTGTATTTTCGTTTTCGAGGTGAAATCGCAGAATTTAATTGTTGCGCGGCAGAAAGTTCGCCGAATTTCGAATTCGATCGTGGAAAAGCTGGTCATTATCGCAGAAACTTCGTGTCTTTAATCATATCCTTCGAGAAACACTACTTCTGGAAGACCCCTTGAAGCTCTCTTGGAATAGAGCCATGAAGATCGATAGGCTCAAAACAACTGCTCTTGAACAGTCACATCTGTTCACCACCAAAGAATCACTCGATATCAGCAAGCTTCGAATCACCTATTTTTCGCCATCTCAGAATGTACCTGTTTCGTGCTTTCGATGTGGAATTGCTCGACACAAAGCAGAGTGTCAAAAGTGTCCGGCCCTTATAGTAGGTTGCGAAAACCATTGTAAGCGTGGCCATTTCGCCCGGTGTTGTCGCGTAGTATTAGTTGACCAACCATCGACTGAGTCTCCTTATGTGACTGCTACGGAAAATATTTTTGTGGTTAGGAAACTTCATCAGCCAGTCAATCGGTAAACATTCTTGATGGAACCCACGCTCCTTTCCTCTGACATTTGTACAGTTTTGCTCCGTAGCCCCCACACCACTGTGCCAGTTGTGAATTAGATTCTGCATCGCCAATAACAATCATTCCGTCTAGCCTTTATGACAATTATTTACATGGCGTTCCATTGCATCCCACTTAGTAAAAGTTTGAGTCTCACTCAAATGCCCCTGTGTGGATCCGTGGATATATAGTGACAAAACTTAGTCTACAGTCGGTGGCATCCGATCTTGCTGCGTAAGTGGCATCTGAAGACAGCCCAACTTTGCTGGGGCGAAATGCTATGGTCGCTCTTAATATAACGCCATTTATCGATCGAATTCGCATCATGGCACTGAATGCATTAGTGCTTAAATATTTATATTCCTAATTATTTACTGCGACGATTGGCCGTCTCCATCTGCTGCTCGTCGCATATGCGCTAAAGAGGACGCTAAGCCCTTTTCTATATCGCAGTCACGTCCTACGCCGTTTGCGAAACGTGCGATGGTAGAGAAAGCCATACAGGAGATGGTATCCAACGATTTAGTTGAGCCAGTTAACGGTTCCGGATGGGTGCATCATATGGTCACGGTCTTAAAGGAGAACGATACTGTGCGCATATGTAATGACTAGAAGGCGTTGAATAGTCGGATCGTCGTCGAAAAGTTCGTTCTTCCCACGGTTGATGAGTTGCTAGTCAAGATAACTGTCGCACGAACTTTCTAAAAAGTAGACCTGCAGAAGGCTATTTTCCACATGCCATTGATACCAGAATCGAGACCACTAACGGCTTTTCTCACATAGAGCGGTCTGTTCCAGTATAAAGTTTTGACAATGGGGCTCTGCACCCGCAGTTCGGCAGAAGTTCATGAATCACTCATTTGCAGATCTACCGGGACAAGTCACTTAAATGGATGATATTTGCTTTTTCGGACCTTCAACAGAAGAACATGACCCAAGGTTATGCGCTGCATTACACCGGTTGGAGAGCCTAGATGTTCGGCTTAATCTTGAAAAGTGTTCATTTTGTGATACTAAATTGAATTCCTTGGATACATCTTATCATCCGGTGGAATCCGACCATGTGCGACTAATACTCGGGCTATCACAGAAGCCCCCATACCGAAGAATGCATTTGAGGTTAAGCATTTCTTGGTCTATGCTCGTACAACTTTCGCTATTTTCCCGGTTTTGCTACCCTAGAGGAACCCTTGAGCATGCTGACAGGGAAATGCCACCTTCGACTGGGGCTGTGAATAGTAGTCTGCCTTTGAAGAAATTAAAAGACACCTCCTCCCTACACCAATGCTGGACATTTTCGATGAAAACTGCCCTACGTTCGTCTCGACGAATGCATCAAACATCGGTCTAGGAGCGGTTCTGTTGCAGATGCAGAAAGGACAGGAAAAGTGATTGCATATGCTTCTAGAAAATTATCCCCTATAGAGGTTTCATACTCCGCCGGTGAAAGGGAGGCTCTAGTCTGTGTCTGGGCCTGTGAAAAATGGCACCTATTTCTGTTTTGTCGGAGGTTTATGCGTACAGATCACGCTGCTCTAACTATCCTCCTCAGTCGAGGAACCAATGGTCAAAAGCAGCTACCGAGTAACCACTGGTATGTGCGTTTGCTGAACTTGAAGTTTCAAATCACATTCCGTTCTAGCTCCGAAAACCATATGGCAGATAGCTTCTCACGTCTTCCATTGGACGATTCCGATGAGGACGAGGAAGAAAAATTCGTGGCTTCCGCTTTACATTCATGTGAGCTTTCCGCCGTAACTAAGCAAGTGCTTCAAGAAGCTAACCAAAGTAACCGAAATGTACAAGCCATTTTCCGCCATCTATCTCAAGGCTGGCCTTGCTACACGAAGTTCAGTGGTGAAGTGCAAGCGTTTCATGTTTTACGACACGAGTTAGCGGTCATTGATTGTTGTCTTATGCGAAGATCGGAATTCGTGACTCCAAAGAGACTAAAGTCAAAAGTTATCCAATGGGCACGCGAGGGTCACCCGGCTATTGTACGAACGAATCGCCGACTGCAAGCACACTTGTGGTGGTCGAAAATGACTAAAATGGCAGAGGCGTGTGTCCGGTCTTGCGTTGCGTGTCGGAACGCCGACATGAGCTCTAAGCCGATCGATGCTCCCATCCAGCCTATCTTTTATCCGGATGAAAACTTGGTGGAAGATAGTGCTTGACATCATGGGTCCATGCCATGCTGCACCTCATCACCAGAGAAACTATTTAGTGACCACGTGCCTTTACAGTAAGTGGCCTGAGGTTTATCTTTGTGGCGATGTGAAGATTTCAACCGTTATAAGGTGGCTGAGGCATCTGTTTGCTAGATTTGGTCTTCTCAAAGAAATTGTGACAGACAACAGACTGCAAGTCACACACTACGATTTCCGACATTTCATAAAACTTCACAATGTGACACACGAAAGAACTGTCCCGTACAATCCAGCTGTTAACGGAATGATTGGGCGCACAAAGCGCTACCTAAAAGAAAGTATACGGCCAGTACGTTTGTCCAGTGTGCATCGGGAAGATGCCGTAATCGAGGCTCTGTTTACCCGCAGAACATCGCACTACAAAGCGACCGATCGCATGCCAGATGAGCTAATGTTCGACGGGAAGCTACGGGCGTACTTGAAAGTAGCTATTTCGGTTACGGAAAAAGGCGATCCCCACCAACTGGAGCGTCGCCGACTTTACCATTCCTCTTACGAAAAGCATTCCCTACGGTTGCGTCCCGAAACGTTAGTTCGGCTAAAGCAAAGGCAGGTACATAAACGGCAGTCTGAATTATCGCGCCCCATCAGAATTACTCTCACATTAGGGCCAGGAACGTATGCGCTTGCAGTCGGTCGCCCAGTTAACACCACGCAGCTTTACTCACTCCTTCAACCGAACACAGAGTCAATGTTCAGAAAGGAGGTCCAACACAGGGGGCTAGCAGCTCAATAGTTGTTCATACTGATGCGCTCATTTAGGGAGAGGGTGATGTAGCGCCTAACGCAAATTCCAGTCATGTCTGTCCCGCCACGCACCGAAACCTGCAAATAATTGGATAAGCGTCATCAGTGGATCAATCTCAAGGCCATTACGCATGTTCCCTATCTGATTTAATTTTGTGAATAGATTGTCCAGAGCGTGTCTGCTCATTGTTCTGCTTTCCTCAGTGAGTTCGACCCCTAGTGGTTCAAGATCCTGCTTGCGCAGGGACCTAGTGTGCGTATTGGAACCCAACAATATGTGGTCCGTAATACCGTGCATAAATCGTTACACTGCACCTGCAGGTGGGAAACTTATGACTATAGTTCCACGCAAAAACTGACAATAGTAACGTCACATTCGGCTTCAAAAATGAGTGAACCACAGAGCTGCCTGCGGGCGCAATAGCCATCCTCTCAATACAGCCTGACATGTCTGTGCGATTGCAATCTCCCGAATGGACGATCAACCTATGTGACAAGCCCAAACATGTGCAGAGGTTAGCTCTCTTGATAAACCGTTAACGCTAAACTTAGACTGTAAATTAGACATGGTGAAAGGTAGAAAATGTAGTGTCCCTTTGGTTCACAATGACTACTGGGCAGCACAAATGGGATAATCCGCATTGTTTACTAGACCATCGGAAAGCGGTGGGGTATGTCGAAGTTGATAAGCTTTCCGTTGCTGGGTCATCATAGGTCACGAACGAAGAAAATTGCAGTAAAGATGTCAATTGTGCGCATAAACGTAGGATTCCCTAAAACAGCTTGCATGGTCCGTTTCAATGAATAGATAATGGGAAAACGACCGAAGTTGCACCGGCAGTCCTGCCATGGGGTAGTCCGTACTTTGACCCATGCATAGCAAAGTGTACCAATAACCACCACGATCCGTGAGTGCTAGTACATAACTTAAAGTAGCGCAATGTAGTATGCTGTTCATCATAGCAACCGGAAACACGCTGCGTCGCTCGTTGACCCTGCGATGCCACGTATGCCCAATGCGTTAAGCCCACCTACAACTACCAGTGGTTGCCAAAGCAGTGGTTACCTTCAAGCTAGTCCCGAGTAAGGAGGATTTGAAATGTCAGCACCTTCATTGGCTAAACATCCAAATAACTTACCGATGATACCACGAAATGAAACATGAGTACACGTAAGATTTAAACATAACATTTAAACATAACATAACATGTAAACATAATGGATGCATTTTCACACCATCGCTTGAGATACCTATTTGCGTCTCCCGGATATACTCACCAGATAGCGGGATCATGGGCTCATCCAATAGGTGAATAACTCCGTTGGCAGCTATCATATCCATCTCCACAAAATCCCGTCGTTCACCGCAGTCTGTCAGAATGTAACGCTTTTCTTGTCCGTCCCTCGGGTCAATCTCGCAGACGATGTTGACTGGGTGACCGGGTACGTTGGATTTCTTATTGTTCAAACCAATCAAGCCACCGGAACAAATGTGGCCGGTAAGCACGTGACTAGCGGCGATCTTATGACAAAGTGAGGGAACAAGAGTTAGCGGAAAGGCCTCGGGAGACTGTGTAATTCAAAGGACACGCACAATAAATCTTTGGTTAAAGTCAAATATAAGAAGCAAATCATCATGGTTATCACTGCCTACCTGCTGCAACTTTTCTCCAGTGTATTTTTGTTTAATTGCACTCCAAGTTTGAGATCTCGGAGCAAGGACGGTATAGCGCATACCCGACTCCACTGTGTCCAACTTGTGCTTAAGGTCAGCGGGAAGATCATCTACGAAGGCCATCGTATCTGGATGCGACTGTAAGAACGCCAGAACTGATCTCCATTCCGCACCGTTTCCACCTTCTCCCAAAGGCTGGTGTAAAATGGACAGCGACGAGATTTGATATGTACGGATAAGCTTTCCACCTCTTCGACGTCAGTTAGCTTAAGTCACAACTGCACTTTGGTTTATGCTTGGTTCGAAAGTTGTATGTCGTGTAAGTTTCCACTAGTTGGTCTGCCGAGATAAGTGAAGCGCTAATAGTTTTGCCGTTGACAGCACTCTTTCGAAAGAAATGTTTGGAAATGGCTTTAGATAACTAAAGGTCCGGTTATGTTTCTACATCTTAATTTTTGCCCACTAGAGAAAGCACAATGAAGATAAAGTGCCAATGGCTGCCCGAAGTTAAATGTCATGCAAGCTTAGTGTTTCAGCTGACAATAAACATCGTGCAGTCGTCTACCCTGTCCAAGTGAATGAGCGTACAGGGACAGCTCTTTGACAGTGTTTTATATGACGAAAAACTAACAGCTTTTGACATTTAAGACTAACGCAATGTTCTACCATTTCATGTTTTCACAGGCCACACAGTTATTGAGCAATCACATAAATATCAATAGGGGTTCCGAGGTGAATGATAATATGGACTTGGCAAGACGCGTTTTATAACCGCGTTGTTAATGAAATACGTTCAGATCCGACTTCTATTTTGCACTTGCCTGGGATGTATCCTCAACGGTACTGTTTGAATCTGTGGATATTTTGAATCACCTAAACGCTACAGTGTTACCGAATAAGCCTAATCGACAAATCATTACCATTTCTCCATCAAAAAGTTGGCACTAGGGGACCAAGTCTGCTGTTGAGGGGTTACGTAACAGCATGAAGCAGAAGAGTGGTGAAGCAACTTAGAAGTGTCTAGATATGCTGCCATCACCTATCAGATTGGTACTGTAAGCTAACCTACATCATAGCTGCCCGTAGAACGCTAGAAACGGTTGGGACGGTGGCAGGGCAACGTGAACGAGACTTGCGGTGCACACAGACTACTACAACGATTATCAACAATTGGGGACGTTTCTTACATGACGTATTCTATGCACCAGTCCACTTCGGCATTCCAGATCAGCATCTAAGATTTCAACACAGTCCACCGTGGTAATCTGTGGGTGCAAGAAGAATGTTGACAATGGAACAATGATTTATGGAGGGTAAAATTGCATCGGAGTTATAGATTCCGTAGAGTGGCAAGGGAAGGAATAACAATCTCAAAGACTACATATGTGAACAAAACGAAATCTACATCGGTGAAATAACATGGTAGCGGCATAGTAGAAGCAGGGTTACAGGAATGAGGTGGCAAAATGCCTAGCGGAATGACAAATTAGTATGCTGAACGGTTATTGTAGAGAACGATCGGGCTTTGCAATCGTCCATACCTGTTTACGCGCATCAGGGTGGAATAGCATTACAGCATATTATACCATTTCCCGTCCAAGTTGTTCTCTTGGGCAACAGAAATAATCTGAGGGGGCATTCAACATGAGTCTGCTCAATTACTTTGTTCCGTACGTCCGCCAGTCACTTGTGCAGGTGTGTAGGTGTGCGTGTATAGCCCGTCGCCTTCAGCCAGTTGGACCTCAGACGCACTAAGTGGTGGGACGCTTCATCCCCTACGTACGGAACAAAGTAATTGAGTAGACTCATGTTGAATGCCCCTCAGGTTATTGCTGTTGCCCAAGAGGACAACCTGGCCGAGAAATGGTATAGTTAGCCGGGATAGGTTCCAAAGTATCCGTTCATACAACAAAGCATAGGTTCGGAGGTAGTTTATCATAAGCCGCTGTCAGTCAGCTGGCTTTGGCACATCTATAAAATCACCAGACAGCGATGTTTCGACATTTTGGGTCTCCTCAGTGGTGCGCCTTCCTCGGAACCCTGCCGGGTTCCGACCCCATGACTTTCGGGGGCCAGCAGCTGGTGCCAATTAGCCATGGGTGACGGCTTCGGAGTTGCATGATTGGCAGTTGAATATGATATAGCTCGACTCATCTGCGACTACCATGCCAGTTTCAAACTGTGCAGAGGACAACCGTTAGCCCCACGAGCTAGAAATTTCCGCATCGCGACTGCGTCAGACACAGCACTTAGAAGTGTAGGTAGGTGAGGACAATATCCAAGCGTTTTTGTAGTCAGCGTGAGGACACAGACAACTGAGTTTGGAAGGGCGTTCCACTATTGGCAGACGCGGAAAGAGAAGTAAATTCGTCGGCACTCTAGACGGTTATATTTTTGGCTTAACTTCATTGGCACTTCGGTTACTGAGTAGGCTAAATAATGAGACTTTTGTAAGGAAATATGGCAATGGAGCTTGGATTGCTCTCCGAGATGAGTGATTGGCTTGAAAACATTTCTCCGCCAAGTTAAGCAACAGCAGTAGTGCGGCCTAGTTCGCAACTTCCGAGGAGATGTATACGAGGTAATGGAAATTGTGCTGCTGGCGCTGCCTAACGCTGCAGCGAAATGTCTGCGAACCAACCAGACAACTCGGAGCACGGCCCAAAAACCGCATCCTCCCTGTGAGCTAGGGATATTCTCAACACTCAAAATTTGGCAGTAATGTATTGAAATGATTCTTCACTTTCGTCTCCTTCCCCACCGCGAACATGTTTTTGACCGCTGGATACCTACTCAGCAGTAGGTGACCTTGTGTTCACTAAACTTGTTCTTGACCAGATTCCGGCGCTTAGTACCTCAGTGGCCAGCGGTGTTTTTGCAGTACACGCTGTCAAATGTCACAATTCAAACACGCGACGAATTCTTCGATACCAACAATTGCTGTGCCAAGGGCGGCTCTGAAGGCTCAGTGGTTCCTTGATGTAAATATCTGCTGTGAACTACGAGACTCCGTGTTCAGAGCATAGCCTCCATTATATATACCGGGAGTTGCATATAGACAAGTTTGAAACCGAATGTACAATACCGAGTTGTAAGCGAGTAACACCGAGTTGTTTTCCGCTTCTGATGCGGTCCAAGTTACCGTGATAACCGTGGCTTGTCTCATGGTGATATTCGGTGCCAATTGAGATTCTGTAGTGCAATACACTCACGCAATGGATTTACTTGAACAAACTGAAAGCGAGGCTTCAACTTTTGTGACGAACTGTGAAAGTGGCTCAATGGTGTAGTGTCAAACATATCAACTGAGAGTAACGGGTTAGCTTCGATTCGGCTGACCAGTGCGGGACGGAGAGTGACCAACACCTAATACGTACCTGTATGAATTGACAGCGATTCATTTCGGAATAACGTTTGGAAAGTGTGGAATAACTTTGGGATTCAAGATGAAGTTAGCAAATGTGTAGCAAAAGCATGAGGAGCTTTTGTTTACTTTCGCCACCTATGACGCCGGCGCGAAACCCGTCAGTCCCTGAAGGGTTGAGTATACAATGCAGCCGTAGGTTCGACCTTCCTGTATGGTTGTGAAACCTGGCCCCTTACATCAACCGACATAAAAAAGCCAGTTACTTTCGACCACTGATGGCTTCGGAGTTTGGCTCATATCTGGTGGGAACATCACGTGAGCAACAAGCGATTTCGACTCCTTGTTTATGACGCAGGAAGAAACGAACCGCTCAGCACCTTTATATCACGCAACAAGCTCCGTTGGCTAGGCCACGTGTTGCGCATGCCAGCCCTCCGACTCCCGCGACGTGCTTTGTTTGTTCGCCGGAGGTGTGGATGGAAGAAGAGGAGGGGTGGCCAAGCGATGACTTGGTCAGGAGGAATGAAGGCCGTTCGAACTTGGCCTCGTTTGGAGCTTTGAGGCTCCTTGGTTGGGGTCCGAAAGACGATGGGCACCCTTGGTTGGAGTCGACCTCAGTGGCGTTTGTGTTGTGAATCTTTTTGTCCCTCATCCACCTGCTTGGTCTCCTCCTCCAACCACGATCTCATTTACTAGGCATGGTGTAACTCATTTTGCGACGCAAAAGCCGGGTTTTAGCTCTCCGAAACGAAGTTCATCCGTTCCTGGTGACACAACCGTTGTGACTCTTTTGCAATTTCGCTTCTCTTTTATATATTGCGGCACAAGAGCTGAGGTGTTTTCCATCAGTAGTAAACGTGTATAATGACGGTGAACATGTAGCGTCCCCTATTCGTAAAACACTTCTCTTGCCAAAGTTAGTACTCTATTAGTCTTTTACTTTTTACAGGGCTTAACTCAACAGCTTACAAGTCATCTAGCTTTACCACTATTACGGAAAAAGTCACCTCCGGCTTTAGCACAGTTGATCAGCTTGTGTACGATGGAATGTAATTTATCGGCCTACAACAATTTGATATCGATAACGGCAAACAGCCAAATAACTCACTTTCACGAATTTCTGTTGTTGAACTCACCCCGTAAGGATACTTTGAAACGTAAAGCTTCCTTCGACCATCCAACGTGGACAGCTCCATTCCGTCTTTCAAAGCAGCGATGTAATATCTTCCTTTGACTACATGATCGGTTGTTTGTACTCTGTTGACAGCATGTGAAGAAAGGAAGGTACGCAACAGTTGTTACTATGTGCAACTCGCAGGTCAGAGAGCTTTACACAGAGACCGAACTCCAGAGAGCCTAACTGTTCAATGACTGTGTTCATCATTGCGGTTTCTTTTTAAAAACAAAGCTTGTACAAGTGTAATGATGTTAGTTACTGCATTACTAACGAACTCGGTTGTTTTGGACGAAATCGGTGTGTAACCTAGCCATGATTTAGTCCGTTCTTGTGGGTTTGCTATTCCGCCTTTATGCGGTAAGTCTCTTGCATCATTGAGAGATAAAACTTTTATTTCATTGTATCTGTTTCCTTTTGCACTCCTATTACACCTCCAAATGTTGTGGCAAATGACTGTTACAACAACTGAGGTGCGTACACCATACCAGACGTATTCCATCCTAAGCTGAAACCACTTGTTTTGAGCTGGGGCCCACCGAGCGCAGCTGTCTCCCCCTTGTTCCCTTACATTGACTTATGTTGTATTCGGCAACCCAATGCATCTTAAAAGGAGCAATTATCGAAATATTGTTCAACTGTTCCTCAAGCTACAAAAATGTAAAAAAGGAAAAGTCAAGGACTGCATCAGTGAGGAAGGTTTATACAAGGCGCTGTCGCAGATCAGTAAGGGAAGCCGGTTATGTATTCTCAAAAACAATTCACAGTTCTGTGGCAGATTTTTATGCATTGTTCTGAAGGCATAATTATCACAAGGTAGCCAGGTGTTTGGTCTAAATTAGACGGTGCAACAGCACCAAGACTCAAAGCACAAATAAAAAAAGGACCCAATTCGAAATAAATGTGGCAGGTAGGTAAATCCGTACGTCAGTCTTCATATCATGTTTGAGACGTTGACACAAGTTCGGCAGAAGCCCAATGAATAACCTAGGCCTAGTTATCGGCCATTTACCAGTTGATCCAAAACTTCAATTAAAACTATACTAAGACTAGAACAAGATGGATTCAACTCTTTATAATGACCCCAGCGACAAGGTTATCAAGTCTGATACCATTCGACAGGTTTGCATTAGCGAGTGAAGACTGAATGTATGTACATATATGCATAATTTATGAACACAAACTAGTCTATTCAGAGTATAGGATTGCGACCACTGAAGAAACATTCAGCACTCGGAATGAGGTTAGATCTTTGTTACAACTGGTTTACAGTGGAATCGTACATAGCATATCGTCGCTTTCTGGACAGTTATAAGCACTGGGTCCATTATCCTACGCTGTCCGATAGCACTGCTGATGAGACCATGGAAACCCCGTGGTCGCCATGTGTTTAGCACCCAGACATTTCGCGCATTATTGCTGGTGGCGGGGCGGGGCACGGCCAAGGTCGCAAACTAGTTTTAATGGGGTTATTTAACCATGCAACGAGCTACAACCTGGCCACTGGTTTATGCACACCTGGAATGCAGGCCTTCCGTGCCCACTTGCACACTTCGGAGCTACCATCTGAAATTAGCGCTCCCATGCATCAGAGATTGGTATGCTTGTTGCGAATTCATTACATCTACTGTTTCTGAACGCTGTCATGGTTCTGGGTAGAGTTTACTCAACTTCACTTATCCATTTGAGAAACAAATGTGGTGCAAGCGGGTGTACCCACATATGGGGATATCTTCTCCGTCTGAACGTATTCCCGTGCATCACTAAGTTCGTTCAGTTCTCACACTGTTACGTAGAAACAAACCGAAACCCTATGGGGCTAACCTACATTGTGTGCTATCCGCTCATCTGAAGACAGCTCAAACAAGATTTGTGGAACTACTGGAAACTCATGCGCAGACATTACTCGTGGTCGAAGACTTGTCTTTGTGTTGTCTGATTGCTTTCATCAACTCTCGTAAGTGCACTCTTGATCGTACGCGGCGAAACCGAACTATTCGATGGAAAATTCGCTGATGAACAATCAGGAGGCATCAATTGCTCGGGATCCCAGTAAGTACGCGATGAATTTAGCTAACGTGCAACTTGACGAGTTGCAATTAGAAGAATAAGCATTTTGGCCTAGTTACAACCCTCATGGAAAGTTGAACGGGTTGTTTATAGGAGCCTTATCTGAGAACTTTTTTGCTCGGTTTAAGAAGCATCAACCAATCAGTTCTGTTAAGCTTATTTGGTTCAGAAACAACCTGACTGATATCACCAACAAAGTAAAAACGGTGCCAGTCAGTGCAGAATTCATGTCAGAGTTCGTTTACCGGCTTTACGTGAGCTACGACTTAAGTAGGTAGTCGTTAGGAAACTAGATTAAGGTTCCAGATTGGTGATTAGGAACAAGACCGAAAACGTCAAAAAGGTGCATCATACTCATCGATGCAAGGATATTCGGATGAGTCAAGAAACGCGCATAAGTCATGACCTTATAGTTTCTCCTTCATTGAGTGAAATATTGTGATACTTTTAATAGTGTAAAGCCGAGTAGTAACACTATTCCGCAGCCGCATGGGTCACCGAAGACACACAGTAGCCAAATGTCACTCAGGCCGATTCTTTTACTAATGAATGCGCCTCAGCATAAACTGGCTCTTTGCCTAGCCTAGATGCTTTCTCCGCTGAGACAAGGAGCCAATCCATACAGTCTTAAAGACACGCTTCAAATCAATTGTGATCTGGAAATAATCAACCAACCAGACAAAGTCATGTGTTCGTTGGATGTAGAATTCTCGTTCAGCAGCGTACCGCTACATCGGACGGTAGATTACCCATGCGAAGTAGCTGAAATCTCTGGATATTTGTTACTAATTCGGACAGAATTGTTGAAAGGATCTCTACTATTGTGCACGAAGAATGTGAACTTACATTTCAGGAACACACCGTACCGAGAAACTGATGGCGTAGAAATGTGCATTCTTTTAGATCCCATTTTCGCTTATTCCTTCCTGCTGGTAGTAGAAAGAAGCATTACGACAGCAGTAGCCTAGACACTCTGTAGGACTCCCCTTTTACAGTTTGCTATATAAGCTTTTATAGAATATCACCCTTAACTAGCTGACAATCTGCCAGATATATTAGCCATCATTTAAAGGCTCCATCCAAGATACCATGGATCGTCGTACTCTAACCAGTCTACCATCTAAGGTGACCCCGACGTGAGCTTGGTGTTTCGAACTCTGCCCACATCATCCGGTGAGTTGTATCCACTTTCGTCGCCTTTAATCGTTTCATGTATGCGAATATGACGGGTCAGCATCTAGGGTTACTAACACCTTATCTATTAGTTATTTAGCAACCTTTTGGATACAATGTCTCCAGCTTCGGTTTCTTCAGGCCGAGGCATTTTTGTAATCAGTCGTATACGTAAGTATGCTTTAAATATACATCATGCAAGTTCCCAGACTCCCACCAGAATTATTACCCCTGACACCGGATATCCTGAAAACCCTAAGTAGCAACAACTAAGGGACTTGTTGGTTCGCGAGCTTAGCCTTAGTGAGCGTAAGAGAGGGTAATGCCTACTTACTGAAAAGCAATTAGGCGATTGCACTCCTACGCAACTATTGCGAGCCATGCAATCTCTGACAGATGATAACCCTCCAGAGAATTCTATTTTTAAGCAGCTATTTGCGCAACTGCTCCCTACACATGTACAACAAATATTGGCTAACGCTCATCAGGATACCGAACTGAAAGACTTAGGCCTTGTGGTTGATAAAATAATGGAGATACCATCGCCAGCAATCTCAGCTTTATCATTTCGTGTGTCTGGTGATGTACTCGTAAAAGCCGTGCGCTCCCTGCAGGAACAAATGGCTTCCATCACCAGACGAAGGAGCAACTTTCGATCTAACCAACAGTGTATTCTGACTATTAGTCGTTTCTATTGTGTAACCAGCCGACTGTTCACGTACTCACGACTGAAGGGAGAACGCGAAAATAAGCCAGGACTGAGTTCTTCTACACGAGTAATCTGCTCATGTAATTAGGGTTCAGCAGTAGTTGAAGCCGGGCTACTAAACACGTTGGAGCCAAACATCAACGTAGGAGACACTGAATACTACAGACGATTAAGTAGTGGTAAACGTAACAACCAATTAGGCTAGTTCGTGTAAACGGCATTCGCGTAACTAGACCCCTGAGATGACATCGATCTCGAAAGACTGGGCCGGCTAATCAAATCAAAGAATTGATGTCTTTAAACCAATGTCAAGCAACAAACGGTCGAGAAATACAAACAGATAACTAAGAATTGTAACAAAAACTACATGTCCACTTCACTACCTCCTAACAGTTCCTGTGGCATTTGCTGGTACCGCCGGAGGTTCCGTACCAGGGCTCAAAAATGCATAAAGCCGCTTTTCCAACCCAGAAACAAACACGCCAGCTCGTAATGGCGGCGACGCAAACTGGCATATGTGAGCCAGGTCGCCACTTTTAATCGCGAGACCTAAGGTATGGCATGCGATTCCTCGTACACACTGGTGCCCAAATCAGTGTGGTTCACCCACGTCAGGAGGATCTGAATCACTGCTGGGTATGCAGCATGCAGACAGTAAACCGCAAGCCAGTACGTACCTATGGAGAACGTCCTATCACTTTTAACCTTGGTCTCCGTAAACCTTTTCCTTGGATTTTCATTGTGGCTAAAGTGCCAACTGCAATCCTAGATCTCGATTCCTTGCAGCATCATGGCGTTATCGTCGGTCCCAAACGCTGTCTGATCACCGTTATTCTAACACAGCTATCACAGGCTGGCTTCAAAAGTTCCATTAGGTCTAGGAGCCCGCAGCTTGTTCCACCACAAGCCCTCCCTATGTATTTGGATCTGTTACGAGGATTTAGCAGCATAACGAAGCCCGATACCCACCTGGTGATGTTAAGCACGAGATCATTCTCAGGATAACGACAGCAGCTAGTCCAGTTTTTCATCGACCACGGCGATTAGCGCCTGATAAACTTTCCATAGCGAAGACCGAATTTGACCATATGTTACTGTTGGGTATAACGCATCCATCGAGCAGTATGTGGG